ACAGAATAGCGCTTTAGTATTAAGAGCGCCCACAACGTCGTTGTTGATTACGCCGAAATAATAACTTAACCGATCTAATTTTTTACAGGTGTTTCAGGAATTATGAAAACAGCTGTAATTATAAATTATGAATGATCGAATATCCACATATCCGAATATCCAGATTTTCATTAAACTAGATTCAACTACTAATTCTTTATAAAAGACCTTTAGCACATAGTATTCTTATTCTTGTTTAGTGTGCTAAATTTATTTTTCTTCTAAAGTCATTTATCAGTAAAAAAAAATTATAAGCCGTTATAAGTGTCCTCTTTCGTCCATCTTTTATTATCAATCATATTTACCTTTACAATTACTTTTATTATTTTCTTTATAAAATAACATAATTATGAGAAATAGTTCGTTTATAATAAAATTGTTATTGTTTATTCTTACATTACAAAGATGTTTTATGATACATGCTTTGGAAAATCAATTAGCAAAATTATGGAAAGTTGATCAAGATAAAGTATCTGAGTTATTGAATCTTGAAAAACACTTATGCACGATAGATGAACTTTTAAACCCATTGCTAAAGCAAAATGAAAGAAGTTTTGGAGGATCTTATATAGATGTAAAAAGAAATAAAATTGTTATCAGGATAGTAGATAACACTAAGATGGATATTATATTAAATTCACCCCAGATAAAACCGCATAAAGAGTTGTTATTATTTAAACAAGCAAGAAATTCTCTATTAGATTTAAAAGACTTGTCATTAAAAGTAATCGGAAAGGCAATATCGCATCAACCAGCTGGCGTAATTATATACACTGAAATTGAAGTAAATGACATTAAAGTACTTCTAAGGCATGAAGACGATCATGCTAATCAAGACTTTATAGACGATATCAGGCAATTTAACATATCTATACATTATTACGATGATCAAGAACGACCACGACCACCACCTAGTTTAACACATACTAAACGTGAAACAGAAATAGATCCACAAATAATAAATGGAGATGGTATTTTTAATGAATCTGACGAGTCTAAATGTACAGCAGGTTTTTGGGTAAAAGATGCAAAAAACGGTACTCAAGATTATATTGTAACTGCAGGGCATTGTATTGATTCTGAGGATAAAGATCCTTTTAGTAATATTTTTTATACGAGTCCGTGGCATTCAACTAACCTCGGGCATGAAATTGGACCAATGGTATTTCATAATACAATCGATAGTGATATGGGCTTAATCAAAATAACGAATGAAGATCTCAAACCAACAAGAAAAATAAGGAATACCGATTCTGAGCAACATAGGATACTATTTATAAAAGATGGTAATCCTATATCATCCCACAAGGCACACCTATGTAAATCCGGCTACAAAACACATGTTACTTGCGGATACATAAAATCGTTTGATGGTTTACTTATAAATCATGATGAGATTTATGAAAATTTGATTGTTGCGAGTATATCTACTACTACGGGTGATAGTGGATCGCCTGTATTCTATTCGCGAGATTTACCTTTTGTGAGTCTACACGGCATGCACGTGATGAGCGCGCATAGTAAATACTTGGGTGATATTGCTTTAAATATAAAATTACAAAATATTTTAACTAATGCTCAAAAAGAGCTTATTTTGGGTGAAGAAAATCATCAATAATAAATATACTGTAATTGATCTTTTACATAAGCTTGAGCATTAAACATTGCATAATCATGTGATTAAAATTATGTATATTGTAAAAATAGCTTTCAAGAATTATCAAATCAATAAGTTAATACTATTTCCCGGTGGCAGTATTACAGATTCTTGATAAATTTAGGACTCAGATTAATACAATACAGGTGTTCTGTAACTGTGCAACTTCTACATTGTTATTAATTGCTTTACAAAGTCTTATTTTCTTTCTTTCTTTCTTTCTTTCTTTCTTTCTTCCTTTCTTTCTTTTTTTCTTTTTTTCTTTTTTTTTTTCTTTTTTTTTTTTTTTTTTTTCTTTCTCTCTATCTCTATCTTTCTCTCTCTCTTTCTCTTTCTCTCTCTCTTCTCTCTCCTCTTTTCTCTCTTCTCTCTATAGTATAATATATACCCTGCTTTGCAGGGTATATTATGTAAATGGAAACCTGCTTCGCGGGCTTTTATATAGCATTTGAGGTAATATTATATAAACGAGAATCTGCTTCGCAGGCTCCTGTGTAGCATTCATAAAAAGGCACACTCAAATTTTAACAAAGATCCTTTGAAGGCCCTGCTTACGCAGGGACCTCCAAGGGATCTCTGTTATAATTTAAGTGTGACTTTTTTTTGACCGTGACAAACAATCGCGCTTTAGTATTAAAGGGCAACAATGTTGTTGTTGATTAACCTTCATTACAGTCAATAATACCGCATCATACCAGGTCTTTAAGCAGAGGCTTGTAGAAATATTTTCTTCAGACAACCTATTACGTATTGGGTTGATTGTATTCTTTGCTGTCGAAAACATTTTTTCACTCAATATTAACACTATAGAGTAGCTCATGCACAAGTATTGCCGTTTCACTTTCGAATGAAGATAATTTCATAGCTGGGTCTTATGCAACTAACCTATTTAATAAGATTTATTGCAAAGTTTGCAATATTGTTTATCACCAGTTTGGTAAGTTCATCTCAGAAAGAGTCCTTTTTTAATCATTTTGAATGATTGTTATTTCCGTAAGAGTTTCAGAATCAAGTGTATTTTGAGAAGAGGTAGGTTTAGTTGAATTAATAAACTGTTCAAATATATTTTCTTCATCTATCGATTAGTGAAATTTAGATAAAATAAAATGAAATATGTAAAAAAAAAATTTTGCATTTTATATTAAAAAAAAATCAAAAAGGCTAATTGTCGTTATATCTTGCCACAATAAATTAATTTTTTAATTAATTTAAAAAATCCCGAAAACTGATTTTGTTCATCATAACGATAGTAATTAAAAGTTTATTACAAATCAAGACTAATTGCATTTTCACGGCACAATAAATCAATTTAAATTTAAAAAAATAAGTCAACTGATTTTTGTTCGCCATTACAATAGCGATAGCAATTAAAAGCCTATAATCACAAGAATTTAGCTCATCTGATTGATTTCAAACTCGATTTAAGCAGGAGGAGTTTAAATTTAATAATGATAATTATGTGATCACTGAAACTCGAGTTCTATTGAGTTTAGGCCCAAACAGAGGCTAAACTGAGTTCGGGCAAGCAGGATAACATCTCTAGTTAAAATATTGATTTATTTGATATACCCCTGATTGGCCAATCAGAATGCAAAATTTTGTGTAACAATCACAGATAACGTGATATAATGTGATCAGTAAATAAAATTCTGCTCTGCTTCTAGCATGTTTGTTGATTGTCTACTTTACTGAAGCTTACTAACTGACGGTTCAAGTTAACTAAATTTATATTGCCCGGCCCGAATTATACTTTTAATTTTGCCTGAGTGCATATTGTTGCATTGTATTAAAAATTGCAAAAATATCGATTTTTCTATGATTTGGCCTAAAAATATCGGTTTATATATAATCGATACAAATCGATATTATTAACTCCCTGCACCTGATCTTTAAATCTGATTCGTAGCTATGCCACAAATTTGGCACACATTTCAACGTTCTAACCAAGAGTTATAGAAAGACTTTTATATGATTGGCAATTTAAATCAATTTTACATTTTTTATACAGTTTAAAATACTTTTAAAAAAAATAAAACTACAAAGAATAAATAAAAAAGTAATTAAAAAGTTTTATTAGGGTCGTAAGACTCTACAATTAAAAATAATCAAAATCTCTTTTATTTTAGAGAAGCTAGTATGACAATAATCTATTATTGGATGACACCAGAGTGGCCCCACGAAGTTCGGGTTGATGATCAATATCATTGTCAATAACCCTTAAAATGCTAGTCAAAAAAATTTCACAGATCATGTGAAATGATGAAACAACCAATCAAATTTCAAGATTGGGTGTAATGTTACACGATCAGGAAAATTCAAAACAAACGTTCGTTTTGTCAAAAATTGCTCTTAACTCAAAATTTAGATTATGAAACTGCCTTTTGCGCACTAACAAAAAGTTTTTCTTGTGAAATTTTGGTATAGCTATAAACCTCTAATCTGACCTATGACCTACTAGCAAAACCCTAACCCTAAACTAATCGCGAACCCTTTTTTTAGTGAAAAATTTTTTATTAGTTTTAAACTAGAGGAGGAAAAAAAGGTCGTAGAAGTAAAAATAGAGAAAATAATGCAGGTTCAGAAAGAAAAGCTAAAGTAATTACACAATTACCTGTTCCTCCAGATTTTAATAATTTAGAACATAGTGTGCTATTTCATTCAAGTTTTGTTAGATTGCCATTAGCATTACCTGACAATAATATTAATCCATATGGACTAATTAGATTATTTTTTTCACAATCTATTTTTATTAAAATTTTAACAAACACTAATGAATATGCAAAGTCAAAAAATGCTAGCATAGATGGACGAGTTTGGTTATCTTTAATATTAGAAGAATTGAAAATTTGGTTAGGAATTGTTATATACATGGGTTTAATTAAGTTGCTACAGATAACAAATTATTGGTCAGTTGATCCTAAATATCCTCGACATGATATTATTCAAACAATATCAATGATACATTTTCAACAAATAAAATAGTACTTACATATTTCAGATATTAATTCTGAAAAACTTTATTGGTTTGATAAGGTTGAACCTCTTATGTCACATATTCGAAATATTAGCAAACAAATGTATATACCAGGTTCAAATGTAGCGATTGATGAAATGATGGTACGATTTTCCGGGCATAGTAAATATACATTTAGGATGAAAATAAACCTATATCTGAAGGTTACAAGATTATATCATTATGTGAAAAAGGCTATACTTACACATTCATACTGGAATCACGTGTTGAAAATAATGAAATTCTATGTATTTTTGGTCTTAACAAAACAGGATCTCTAGTTTCACATCTTGTTATACAATTATCTAATAATCGGGCATGTAATATTTATATGGACAATTATTTTGCAAGTGTGCCTCTTTTTAATTATTTACGAATAAAAGGTTATAGTGCTTGTGGCACAGTATAAACAAATTCTGCAATGTTTTCTAAAGAATTAAAAGTTGAAAAATCTATACGTTTGAATTGGGATACTTTAGCTAGAGTAGTAGTAAATAATGTTTTGGTAATTTTTTGGATGAATAATGGTCCTGTCCATATGCTCTCAACAATTCATGGTATTAAAGGTAATGAGTAGAAAATTTTAAGTTCAAGACGACGGCTATGAGAAACAAGCTCAAATGCAAACAATATACGAAAAGTTTTTGGTAATGAAATTCGAAACAAAATTTTAATTCCAAAAGCTATTTATGACTATAATTATTTTATGAATGGAGTTGATATTGCTGACCAATATTGATCTTATTACAATTGTCAGCTTACTGCTTCATGTACTTGGATGCTATTACAATTTTGGCTAATAGATACAGCCATAGTAAATTCATACATTATCTATCAGAAAAATGGTAAATTATTTAGCTTATTTTATCCAAGCTTTAACATTAGTATTATTTTATATACTA